CTGCCACCGCACCTGGCTAATTTCTGTATTTTTAGTAGATATGGAGTTTCACCCTATTGGCCAGGCTGGTCTTGAACTCCTGACCTCAAGTGATCCACCCGCTTCGGCCTACCAAAGTGCTGAGATTACAGGCGCCCACCACTGTGCCCGGCCTTATTTTTGTATTTTTAGTAGAGACAGGGTTTCACCATGTTGGCCAGGCTGGTCTCGAACTCCTGACCTCGAGTGATCTGCCTGCCTCAGCCTCCTGAAGTGCTGGGATTACAGGCGTGAGCCACCGTGCCCAGCCATGACCTCATCTTAATGTGATTCCATCCTCAAAGACTCTCCAAGTACAGTCTCATTCACACGTACCCATGTACCAGCGATTAGGACTTGAACAAATCTTTTGGAGGGTGACAGAATACATTCTGTCCCAGAATTCTGACTCAGTAATCAATGCCACAAATCTCTATTCCTGTTTCTAAGTGTGGTCTATGGAGTATTGGCCTCTTCTGGAAGCTTGATAGGAACACAGAACCTGGGCCACCTCAGACCTACTGAATCAGCACCTGCCTGGTCCCAAGGGCCCCAGGCAATCCACATGCTTATTCAAGTTTGAGAAGTCTTGGGTCACTACCCACCTGGGGGGATGTAAGGCAAGGCCAGGAACTCATGGAGGTGGAGTTGGTTGGGAAAACCTGAGAAAGGATTTCTCTAGAGATTTGTTTGCTGTCATTCCTTCCCGTATCCTCCTCTCTCCTTAGTAGCTATGAGACATGTCAAGATGTCACCTTCAGGAAGGAGGACAGTGTTCACACAAACACAGACACACACACACAAGGACACAGATGGCACCTTCAGGGAACCAGTGAATTTGGTTTACGTCCTCCGGAATTTGGGGGATACAGGGAACTGTACCTGGTTTATACACCGACATCTGTGAGGCCAGCCAGGAGGCCTGCCTGGCAGCAATGCAGAGTGCAATCCCATGGCAGTGGCAGACAAAAGACGTGGCCCTTCTTAAAGGATCAGGATGATAAAGTCCAGTTGGAAAGGCCCTTCCAGGAGGAGCCTCTGGACGCAGAGCTGACCTTGGCCGGCAAGCAGAAGCTCTGGCAGGCAGGCAGAGTCATAAGCGGCCGGCTAAGGGACACCTCAAAAGTGTGCTTGGAGAGAAGGTGCCAGCACCCTGGCATTTGCTGCCTCTGAAGCTCCCTGGCCACGTGGCACCTGCCAGCAAGGAGCCCCTTTCTGCTTTCTTTTTTTTTTTTGGTCTTTCCGGGATTAGAAAAGGCCAAAAAAAGAAACTGGGGTGTAGAGAGAAGGTGGAGCCAAGAACAAAGATGATGTGGACTGTCCTCCCCTTTGGGGATTTCTCTGCCTGAGACACAGCCAGGGAGAGGAGACATTTGATATTAGATTTTGAACACGTGGAACATGCTTCTGTTAATCAACATCTGAGGAGCCATCACAAGTGCGGAGCTCTCCCCAAGATTTCATCCTGGGGGGAGCAAGAACAAGCCCATGGAAAGGGGCACCCCTGAAAAAGAATCAAATTGCTCTTGCTCGCTCACTCCCGAAAATCCAGCCTAGCCATGAAAACACAATGGGGTAGGCCGGGTGTGGTGGCTCAAGCCTGTAATCCCAGCACTTTGGGAGGCCGAGACAGGTAGATCACGAGGTCAGGAGATCAAGACCATCCTGGCTAACACGGTGAAACCCCGTCTCTACTAAAAAATACAAAAACCTAGCCGGGCGAGGTGGCGGGCGCCTGTAGTCCCAGCTACTCGGGAGGCTGAGGCAGGAGAATGGCGTGAACCCGGGAGGCGGAGCTTGCAGTGAGCTGAGATCCGGCCACTGCACTCCAGCCTGGGTGACAGAGCGAGACTCCGTCTCAAAAAAAAAAAGAAAAGAAAAGAAAAGAAAACACAATGGGAAGAGGGCACTTAACCGGAAGAGCTGACTTTGCTATAGCCTCAGGGATGCCCCCTTGGGGGTGACAGTGGAGCTGAACCGGAGGGTGCCGGGGTGAAGGAGGCGAAGGCTGTGAGTGAGGGAGGCAAGTGTCTGTCAGAGGAAGTGGGCTGGCCTCGCTTGGCACTCCCTCCCAGGGCCTCCACCTCAGGCCCACAGGCCACTCTTCAGGTACACACACCCTGGTGTGCCCTCAGGGCTTCCAGAGGCTGGTGCTATCCCCTGACACCAGCTGTGCTTGATCTGTCACTCTCGCCTCACCTCCCTGCTTCCTCGGCAATCCACTCCCCACCCTTCCTCTCCACTCAGTTACTCACTAGTGTAATAGTATTTGAAAGGTACAAACAGGTCGGGTGCGGTGGCTCACACCTGTAATCCCAGCACTTTGGGAGACTGAGGCGGGTAGATCGCTTAAGGTCTGGGGTTCGTGACCAGCCTGGCCAAAATGGCGAAACCTCGTTTCTACTAAAAATACAAAAATTAGCCAGGAGTAGTGGTGCGCACCTGCAGCCCTAGCTAGTTGGGACGCTGAGGTAGGAGAATCGCTTGAACCCAGGAGTCAGAGGTTGCAGTGAGTGAGCCGACATCGTGCCATTACACTCCAGCCTGGGCGACACAAGGCTCCCTCTCAAAAAAAAAAAAAAAAGAAAAGAAAAGAAAAGAAAAGAAAAGTGAGAGGTGACAGCCTGCTAGCAGCCCTAGCTCAATCTTGGCGCCTCCTCAGCCTCGGCGTCCGCTCTGGCCGCGCTGGAGGAGCCCTTCAGCCCGCCGCTGCACTGTGGCAGCCCCTCTCTGCGCTGTCCCAGCAGGCTCCCTCTGCTTGAGGGGAGGTGTAGAGGGAGAGGCGCAGGCGGGAACCAATCGGGGCTGCCTGCGGCGCCGGTGGGCCAGCGCGAGTTCTGGGTGGACGCAGGCTTGGCCAGCCCTGCACTGGAGCGGCAGTGAGGGGCTTAGCACCCGGGCTAGCAGCTGCGGAGGGTGTGCCAGGTTCCCCATCAGTGCCAGCCCACCCATGCTGTGCTCGAATTCTCGCCAGGCCTCAGGTGCCTCCCCCGGGTCAAGGCTAGGGACCTGCAGCCCACCATGCCCCGCCCTGGGCTCCCGTGCAGCCCCAGCCTCCCCAACCAGCGCAGCCCCCTGCTGGGTGGCGCAAGTTCCTATCCACCGCCCAAGGGCTGAGGAGTGCAGGCACGTGGCGCGGGACTGGCAGGCAGCTCTGCCTGTGCCCCCTGTGTTGGATCCACTAGGGGAAGCCAGCTGGGCTCCTGAGTCTGGTGGGGACTTGGAGAACTTTTACCTCTAGCTAAATAGTGTAAATACACCAATCAGCACTCTGTGTCTAGCTCAAGGTTTGTAAACACACCAATCGGCACTCTGTTAAAACGGACCAATTAGCTCTCTGTAAAATGGACCAATCAGTATGATGTGGGTGGGGTCAGATAAGTGAATAAAAGAAAGCTGTCCCAACCAGCAGTGGCAACTTGCTCAGGTCCCTTTCTATGTTGTGGAAGCTTTGTTCTTTTGCTGTTGCAATAAATCTTGCTTTTGCTCACTCTTTGGGTGTGCACCACCTTTATGAGCTGTAACACTCACCACAAAGGTTTGCAGCTTCACTCCTGAAGCCAGCAAGACCACAAACCCACCAGGAGGGATGAACAACTCCAGACGTGCCACCTTTAAGAGCTGTAACACCGCAAAGGTCTCCAGCTTCCCTCCTAAAGCCAGCGAGACCACAAACCCACCAGAAGGAAGAAACTCTGAACATGTCCGAACATCAGAAGGAACAAACTCTGGACACACCATCTTTAAGAACTGTAACACTCACCATGAGGGTCTGTGGCTTCATTCTTGAAGCCAGGGAGACCAAGAATCCACCAGTTCTGGACACAAAAGGTGTAAACAGCCACAGCCTCGCTTAAAACCCAAACAAAACCCCAGTTTCATACTTTGACACCACACAGAGCCATGGGACTCCAGCCTGCCCCCTGGCAGCTCTTCCCTCCTACGCTGGGCTCCAATCCCACTGCCAGGTCCTTCTTTCTATACCTAGGAACACATGTGTAGGCCTGCCTGATCCAGTAGATGGCAGGGCCTCAGTTCTCCAGAGCCTGCTCCTTAGCCTTCCGGCTTCGCTGCCAACGCCACCTCCTAAAGGGGACCCTCCTGCGTCACCCAGTGTGCCTCTCCCCCATGAGGCTCTTCCATCTCTCAAAGCAGCCATGCTGCCCCGGGCTGTAAGTTCTCTAAGGGTCGCCACAGAGGAGGGGCTCACACACTAGTGAGAGAAAGAATAACCAAATTAGGGCTGGGCACGGTGGCTCACGCCTGTTATCCCAGCACTTTGGGAGGTTGAGGCGGGTAGGTCACCTGAGGTCAGAACTTCGAGACCAGCCTGACCAACATGGTGAAACCCCATTTCTACTAAAAATAAGCCAGTGGGGGTGGTGCGGCCGCCAGTAATCCCAGCTACTCGGGAGACTGAGGCAGGAGAATCACTTGAACTCTGAAGGCATAAGTTGCAGTGAGCTCAGATTGAGCCATTTCACTGCAGCTGGGGCAACCAGAGCGAAACTCTGTCTCGAAAATAATAATAAGCAAATTGAAGAATGTGAGCAGCATCTCGGGCACAGGTACTGTTTCGTAATTTTAGACTGCCTTTGTAAGTAGGCGTGAAGGTAATTGTTTCAGGCACTCTTAAGCCAAGCCAATCGGCGCCCCTACAGCGGAGGGCGCGGAATCTCTCCCCAGCCCAGCCCCAGACCCCACTCCCCCACTTCCCCGGGTCCCCTCTGCCCCCGCACCGCTCTGTCCACCCCCGACCCGTCTCCACCCCCACCCCCGTCCCCACCTCACCCCAGTCCCGCCCCGTTCCCCACCCCCGCCTCGGCGCAACTCACGCCCGGTGCCGCGCCTCCGCGCGACTCATGCCTCTCCCCGCCCCTCGTCAGGCCTCGTGCCCCGCCCTCGCACCGCGGCACAATTTATGCCGCGCCCCGCGCCCCGCGCCCCGCGCCTCGTGCCCCATCCCGGCTTCTCCATGCTACTCCTGCTCCAACCCCGCGCGCGACTCATGGACCTCCCCACCCCTCGCCACGCCTCGCCTCCGCGCTTCGCCACGCCCCACCACGCCCCTGTCCTGCCTCTACTTCCGCCTCAGGGGAGCTGGGAGCCCGTCGTTTCCGGGAGAGCCGCGTGGAGTTAGTGTTGGCCGCTTTTGGCATGGCGGCTTTTTCTGGCCCAGCTGGGCCCATCCTGTCGCTTAACCCGCAGGAAGATGCCGAGTTTCAAAAGGAGGTGGCGCAGGTTCGCAAGCGCATCACCCAGGTGAGCAGGCACCCTGGTCCAGGCTGCGAGCGGGGGCGACGGACAGGGTCTAGGGGGTATCTGGGGTTGCGCGGTTCCCCGCCCGGACTCCCCTTGCCTTTGCGCACGCCTTCATTACTGCCAGAGTATCCCTAGCGGATTTGACCGAATCAGGGACCCACCTCTTAAGCTTGCAGGCCACGGTTTCTGAGACTAAAGGGTTTACGCTGGTCAGTAAATGGTGGAGAGGTTTGGCCGCTGAGGCCTTGGGGCCTTCATGTGGAGGGTAAGGGGGAAGTATTGGGGTGACGGAAGCCGTGGAGGGAACCAGCTGGAGGGAATAGGTTCCCATACCACAGGTTATCTCCGGGTTAGACCTGTCGCGCTTCCGCGTTTCCCCCGAAAATGGGGGCCCCAGACTTAACACATTCGGGAGGTTTGTATGCCGGGTTGGTGATCCGGGAGTTAACTAGAGTAGTTGCCAGGTTCCACTTGCTGATTAGGGCCCCTGACGTCGCTTATACTTTCTGTGGTTTTTAGCATAAAATACACAGGAAAACTTAGAAGTTCTTGTTACAGAGGTAAGGGTATGATGGTTGAGACGCTGAAAGGCTGATCTGTATTGTGAGAGTTAAGCGTCTCGAAAATTTTTCGATGAAGTGCGAGTAAACAGCAATATGCATACAAAATTGAAGGCTATATTTATGTAGAGTTCTCTGGGCAGAAGATCTAAAATGGCTTGTTCAGAGATGTCCTTACTTACCGTTGATTGACATAGTTATTGAGCACTAATATTATACTGGGTGCTGGGATGCCAGGCTGGAAAGATAGTTGATTACTGCTTGACCATGGCCTTTGTGGGGAGAGAGACACTAAACAGCCACTTCTTTAATTACTGCTGTGGTAAGTGGAAATGCAGAGTAGGTTCTTGGGCCTAGGGCTAGGGGTTTTGTAGTTTTGTTACAATGTGATTTTCTTATTTTAAAAAATATTTAATTTACCTGGTCTTTATGTCTTCAGCGGAAAAAACAAGAACAACTTACTTCTGGAGTAGTCTATGTGGGCCACCTACCTAACCTACTTAACGAAACCCAGATCTTTTCGTATTTCTCCCAGTTTGGCACTGTGACACGGTTCAGACTGTCCAGAAGTAAAAGGGTAAGATTTTTAAAGTTGGATTTGGTGTTTTGTTTTTCAAATGTGTGTGATTCTTGACATTAAAGAGCACGTTCACATACACATTATTGCTTATCAGATTTCATTCCAAAAAGAAGAGTGGAGGTTTAGAATCTGAAACATAGAATCCTGGCACATAAACTTTGGTTGTAGCCATAGGCACCTATTTGATTTAGCATCTAGGGGATAGGGTGTGCATCCATCATCTGTTAGTTGTCCTAAAGATACAGATTATAGGTAGAATTGAGGTCCCTTTTGTACCCTTCTCAGTGTTCTTCACTTTCTCCTTTAATTAGGGAATTAAATTCACAAATTCCGTTTTCTTTTTTTTGAGACAGAGGCTTGCACTGTCACCCGGGCCGGAGTGCAGTGGTGCGGTCTCAGCTCACTGCAACCTCCGCCTCCCAGGTTCAAGCAATTCTCCTTGCCTCACCCTCCCAAGTAGCTGGGATTACAGGCACCTGCCACCACACCTGGCTACATGTTTTTTGTTTTTAGTAGAGACGGGGTTTCATTAGTTGGCCAGGCTGTTCTCGAACTCCTGACCTTGTGATCCTCCCACCTCAGCCACCCAAAGTGCTGGCATTACAGGCGTGAGCCATCGCTCCTGGCCACAAATTCAGTTTTCAATGCTATATATGTTTATAAGTTTTTACTGTCTCTCTATATATATGTGCTACAACACGTGTGTACATATATATATGTACATATAGTAGTATTTTAAAATTATATTATTTCTATCATTCTTCAGCTGAATTTTTTTACTCAATAATCTGAGCTTTATCCGTGTAACTCTAGTGCCTTTGTTATCATCATTGCTTGTTACTTAGGTAACTAAAGTTTATCCATGCTCCTATTGAACTTTAGGTTTTGTTTTGGGTTTTTTTTTTTTTTTTTTCTTGAGACATTCTCACTCTTGTCACCGGGCAGCTGTAGTGCAGTGGGACGATCTCAGCTCACTGCAACCTCCGCCTCCCAGATTCAAGTGATTCTCCTGCCTCATCCTCCTAAGTGGCTGAGATTACAGGTACTGGCCACTGCACCTAGCTAATTTTTATATTTTCAGTAGAAACCGTGTTTCACCATGTTTTGGCCAGGCTGGTCTCAAACTCCTGACCTCAGGTGATCCGCCCACCTCGGCCTCCGAAGGTGCTGGAATTACAAGTGTGAGCGAGCCACTGTGCCTAGCCTGAACATTAGGTTTTTTACTATTTTTAACTCTTTACATGAAGCTGCTAGGAACAATCTTTGTGCAGGTATAAGCAGATTTTTCTAAAAGAGCATTTTGCAGACTGGCTCACAATAAGAAGTAAGTTTTTACCATCACAGAGAAGATGAGGGTTTTCAAAAAAAGTTTTATAGCACAAACCAGCACACATACACATGCATGTAAGCATAACTGAAATAAAAGCTAAATGAGACAATATTTAAACTTGTTTTGTGTGATTCGCTGATTTTCTGTTTCATTCTATTCAGGGTTTTTTTTGGTTGTTTTGTTTTGTTTGAGACAGAGTCTCGCTCTGTTGCCCGGGCTGGAGTGCAGTGGCACAGTTCCTCAGCTGACTGTGACCTCTGCCTCCCAGGTTCAAGCGATTCTCCTGCCCTCCTCCAGACTAGCTGGGATTATAGGTGCCCGCCATCATGCCTGGCTACCTTTTTTTTTTTTTTTTTTTTTTTGAGACGGAGTCTGGCTCTGTCACCCAGGCTGGAGTGCAGTGGCGGGATCTCGGCTCACTGCAGCTCTGCCTCACGGGTTCACGCGCCATTCTCCTGCCTCAGCCTCCTGATAGATTTGGAACCACAGGCGCCCACCACCACACCTGGCTAATTTTTTTCTTTTTCTTTTTTGTATTTTTAGTAGAGAGGAGTTTCACTGTGTTTAGCCAAGTGGTCTCGATCTCTGACCTCATGATCCTCCCACCTTGGCCTCCCAAAGTGCTGGGGTTACAAGCGAGAGCCACCGTGCTGGCGTTCCTCACCACCCCCACCCCGAAGCGGGAGTCTCACTCTGTTGCCCAGGCTGGAGTGCAGTGGCGCGATCTTGGCTCACTGTGCCCTCAGCCTCTCGGGTTCAAGCGAATCTCCTGCCTCAGTCTCCTGAATAGCTGGGATTATAGGTGCATGCCACCACCTGGCTAATTTTGTATATTTGGGTTTTGATTAGTCAGGATAATTTTGAACTCCTGACCTCAGGTGATCCTCCTGCCTCAGCCTCCCAAAGTGCGGGGATTACAGATGTGAGCCACTGTGCCCGGTCTAATTTTTGTATTTTAGTAGAGACAGGGTTTCACCATTTTGGCCAGGCTGGTCTCTGGCCTCCTGACCTCAGATGATCCCCACCACCTCGGCCTCACAGAGTGCTAGGATTATAGGCATGAGCCACCTTGCTTAGCCTAGTTTTTCTTTTTGAGATGGAATCTTGCTCTGTCGCCCAGGCTGGAGTGTGCAGCACGATCTCAGCTCACTGCAGCCTCACCTCCTCGGGTTCAAGCGATTCTCCCGGCTCCAGCGTCCCGAGTAGCTGGGATTACAGGTGCGTGTCCTGCCATGCCCAGCTAATTTTTGTATCTTTAGTAGAATGAGTGTTTCACCATGTTGGCCGAGCTGGTCTCGAACCCCCGGCTCTGTCGCCCAGGCTGGAGTGCAGTGGCGCGATCTTGGCTCACTGTGCCCTCAGCCTCTCGGGTTCAAGCGAATCTCCTGCCTCAGTCTCCTGAATAGCTGGGATTATAGGCGCATGCCACCACCCCTGGCTAATTTTTGTATATTTAGTAGGGATGGGGTTTCACCATATTGGTCAGGATGGTTTCGAACTCCCGACCTCAGGTGATCCTCCTGCCTCAGCCTCCCAAAGTGCGGGGATTACAGATGTGAGCCACTGTGCCCGGTCTAATTTTTGTATTTTAGTAGAGACAGGGTTTCACCATTTTGGCCAGGCTGGTCTCTAACTCCTGACCTCAGATGATCCACCCACCTCGGCCTCACAGAGTGCTGGGATTATAGGCATGAGCCACCTTGCTTGGCCTAGTTTTTCTTTTTTGAGATGGAATCTTGCTCTGTCGCCCAGGCTGGAGTGCAGTAGCACGATCTCAGCTCACTACAGCCTCCACCTCTCGGGTTCAAGCGATTCTCCCGGCTCAGCGTCCCGAGTAGCTGGGATTACAGGTGCGTGTCACCATGCCCAGCTAATTTTTTGTATCTTTAGTAGAGATAGTGTTTCACCATGTTGGCCAGGCTGGTCTCGAACCCCGGACCTCGAGATCCACCCGCCTCGGCCTCCCAAAGTGAATTTTTTGTATTTTTAGGAGAGATGGGGTTTCACCATGTTGACCAGGCTGGTCTTGAACTCCTGACCTCAGGTGATCCACCCTCCTCAACCTCCCAAAGTGCTAGGATTACAGGCGTGAGTCACCACGCCTGGCCTTCCCCTCCCTTTTGAGTGTTGAGATTATAAATGGATTTTGAGGGATTTAAATTTTTCCAAGAATCCGCCTGTTGAAGACAATTAAGCTGAGACTCAGTTGTGGAAGTGTCCAAGTTGCTTGTTACTGACACAACTGGTGCTAGAAATGAGCCTCCTGATTCCCACTGTTAAGCCATGTGGCTTTTAAGTTGAAGACTTTTTTTTATACCATGGGGTGTTGTTACTGAATAAATTCCAGCCATAGGAACTGTGTATTTATCACATGTAACCAAACTCCCAGGAATACCACAAAATCAGCTGTGCGTCCAGATTCTTGCATCTTTTCTTTTTCCCATAACAGTCCCCAGAATATGTGAATTGAAGTTAGAATTAAGCGTGTGGTAATATTTGATAAGGGGCTAATATACATTATTTAAAATAATGGCATTTTAGGAATTTGATGATGCATTCAAATTTGATTGTTCTACTTTTTGTGGCGACTTCTCTGTTGCAGACTGGAAATAGCAAAGGCTATGCATTTGTGGAGTTTGAGTCTGAGGATGTTGCCAAGATAGTTGCTGAAACAATGAACAACTACCTGTTTGGTGAAAGACTCCTGGAGTGTAAGTGCCCCTGTCTTACTGCAGGGTTGCCTGGTGCCTGCTGCTGGTGGGTGACTGTGGTGGGAAGGGCGGTGTGCCCAGCTGCTTGGATGTACCACTTCATCTCTGGGATGACTCTTACAGAATGGTGCAAGGACTTCAGTGTATGTTGCAGGCAGATTCTAATTGGAATTTTAAAATCTCCCAGCCTGAGAGCTGTTTTTACCCTAAATGGAACCGGACAAGTTACCTTGGGGACACACGGGAGGAGCAGCTAACCATCCTTATGGGCTGTGAAAGGCTTCTCTGAGGAAGTAGCATTGACATTGAAACCTGAAGACTAAACAGGAGCGAGCCAGGTGAAGGGGACGGGAGTGAAGACAGACTGTTCCTGGCTGAGGAACAGTGAATGCCAAACCAAAGGTGCCTAACCATTCAGCTGTGAGAGAATGTGAGGAAAAGTAGCAAGAGATGAGGGAGCAGGAAGAAGCTTCAGGTCAGGTTACCGAGGGCCTTCTAAGTCAGCCAGTTCAGAATTTATCATGAGGGCAGTGGGGATGGCATCAAAAGTCAGGAATCGCATTGCAAAATCTGTCTAAATGGCAGTGGCTGCAGCGCTTCCACACGAGAGAAGCCAGAGGGAGCGGAGGAGTGATAGCACCAGATGAGTAGTTTGTCCTGCAGAAAGCAGCCAGTGCAGGTTCGTCCTACAGAAAGGAGCTAGCGCAGTCCCTACCCTGCAGAAAGGAGCCAGCGCAGCCCCTACCCTGCAGTCCATAGGGTGCAGAGAGCATCCCTGTCCAGATCCTGCTGCCCTTGGGAGCCAAAGTGAAGTTTGTGGCCTCCCTGTGCCCATGGTGGCATGTGGCCGTCTTAGGTACCCAAGTTCACAGCTGATGAGGCTGACCCGGTAGTGTCTCTCTATTCACTTCCCATTGCTGTGAGAGAAGCTGGGATTACAGATGTGAGCCACTGTACCCAGCCACATCGTTTTGTTATGTGAGGAATGGCACTGGGGAGATTCTAAAGTTAGCATTAAAATCTCTTTCCTACCATTTGGTTGAAACCTTTTATGTTTTTTTCTTTTTAAAAATAGGTCATTTTATGCCACCTGAAAAAGTACATAAAGAACTCTTTAAAGACTGGAATATTCCATTTAAGCAGCCATCACATCCATCAGTGAAACGGTATAATCGGAATCGGACACTAACACAAAAGCTACGGATGGAGGAGCGATTTAAAAAGAAAGAAAGATTACTCAGGAAGAAATTAGCTAAAAAAGGAATTGATTATGATTTTCCTTCCTTGGTAAATATTCATGAAATCTTTTTTGTGGTTTGTTGTGGGGAGGGAAGGGGGCAACTTTGTACCTTGTAAAGGACCTAGCCTAGTGCTTATCACAGTCTTGGCTCACTGCAACCTCCACATCCTGGGTTCAAGCAATTCTCCTGCCTCTAGCCTCCCAAGTAGCTGGGATTACAGGTGCACACCACCATGCCTGGCTAATTTTTGCATTTTGAGTAGAGACAGGGTTTCTCCACGTTGGCCAGGCTGGTCTCGAACTCCTGACCTCAGGTGATCCACCCACCTCAGCCTCCCAAAGGGTTGGGATTATAGGCGTGAGCCACTGTGCCCAGCCAGTTTTTTGACTAAACTTTTTTTTTCCTTTTTTTTTTTTTTTTTTCTTTGTGAGACAGAGTGTTGCTCTATTGCCCAGGCTGGAGTGCAGTGGCACAATCTCAGCTCACTGCAACCTCCACCTCCCAGGTTCAATCAATTCTCCTGCTTCACCCTCACGAGTAGCTGAGATTACAGGTGCGCGCCACCACACCTGGCTAATTTTTTGTATTTTTAGTAGAAATGGGATTTCACCATGTTGGTCAGTCAGGTCTTGAACTCTTGACCTCAGGTGATCCGTCCACCTCGCCTCCATAAGTGCTGGGATTACAGGTGTGAGCCACCATGCCTGGCCTGACTAAATTTTTGAAACATTCTATTGTAGGTTCTTCCTAAAACATTATGAGACCAGATTCTGTTATTTCCATTGTACAGAAGAGGAGAGTTGTTTTTTGTTGTTGTTGTTTGAAACAGAGTCTCTGTTGCCCAGGCTGGAGTGTAGTGGCACAATCTCGGCTCACCGCAAACTCCTCCCAGGTTCAAGTGATTCGCCTGTCTCAGCCTCCCAAGTGGCTGGAATTACAGGCGCCCAGCTACTTTTTGCATTTTTAGTAGAGACAGGATTTCACCATGTTGGCCAGGCTGGTCTCGAACTCCCGACCTCGGGTGATCCACCCGCCTTGGTCTCCTAAAGTGCTAGGATTACAGGAGTGAGCCACTGTGCCCGACTAGAAGAGGAAACTTCTTTTAAGGAGATAATCTGATTTGTTTAACTTACATAATCTGTTTTATAAGTTACTGAAGTAAACCCACTATTTAACTGAAAACTATAATACTCTTAGATTGCCATTTATTAGCCAGCTGAGGTAGTGTGTGCCTGTAGTCCTTGCTATTCAGAAGGCTGAGGCAAGAGGATCTCCTGAGCCTAGGATTTAAAGTTTGCAGTGAACTGTGATTGTACCATTGCACTCCAGCCTCAGCAATAGAGCAAGACCATATCTTTAAAAAAAGAAAAAGATTGTCATTCAGAGGTAACACTGCCAGAATTAAGTCTTTGGTTTGCTGCATGCTATAAGTAAATACCAAAACACTGAACCTTTCGTCCATCTGTCACAGTAATGAGAGCTGTGTCTTTTATTATAGATCAAGAATGAAGCTCATTATGGTATGGCTAGTATAATTAAAGGTCTTATTCTTTTCTTTTTTTTTTTTTGAGACAGTCTCCCTCTGTTGCCCAGGCTGGAGTGCAGTGGCGCTATCTCGGCTCACTGCAACCTCCGCCTCCCGGGTTCAAGCGATTCTCCTGCCTCAGCCCCCTGAGTAGCTGGGACTACAGGTGCACATCACCACATCCAGCTAATTTTTTGTATTTTTTTAGTAGAGATGGGGTTTCACCATGTTAGCCACGCTGGTCTCGGGCTCCTGACCTCATGATCCACCCACCTCGGCCTCCCAAAGTGCTGGGATTATAGGTGTGAGCCACTGGGCCAGCCAATTTACTAGGTTTTTAACCTTATCCAGAAACTGGATGACTGTGTTATTCTCCTTTGGCTCAATTCTCGGTGGTTAACTTTTTGCCCAAATTCCAAATATTGTCTTTAATAGTATTAGAACATTTCGCCAAGGCCTTAGGCCCTGGTACTCTCGTGAACCATTTGGGAACTGAGACAGTAAAACTTGGTAAGAGGCACGCAAGCACTGCTTTTCCCGTACCCTGTTTGTGACTTAGTGGAGGTGGGGTGGCCTGCCTTTGCACGTTCTTGTTGCTTCCGCCCTCCCAAATTCAGAATTCTGTGAATCAGTGAGCTCCAGGTGTTGGCCTTCCCTTCAGCCTCTGCAGCTCTGTCAGTTCCTCTTCCGGGTTTTCCCTAGTTTTGCCCTTTACTTGAGACAATTCACTATATTTATGAGTTTTGATTTTTAAATTGAAATGTTCTGTCATTTAGGGAGGATTTCCTGATAATATATATGAGGATCTAATGCTAAGTTTAGAAAGAAAAGATATGAGATTGTCAATTTATAACTTCTTTATTAAAGATTTTGCAGAAAACGGAAAGTATTTCAAAAACTAATCGTCAGACGTCTACAAAAGGCCAGGTAAAATGTTTTTCTCATTTTACATGCAAGATATTAGAGAAAGATAAGTAGGAAAACATTGAAGACTACCATAGCTGATCAATATTCAAATTGATGTCTTTTAAAATTTATTTTAAGGTTTTACGTAAGAAGAAGAAAAAAGTTTTAGGTACTCGTGACACTCCTGAGAAGACTGTGGATAGCCAGGTAAAATGGTTTTCAATATTCTGGGCACCAGATATTATAGAAATAATTTGAAGGAGGAAAAGTAGTTTCTGCTACTCTCATTTTAAGATTTCAAATTAAATATTGTGACATTTGGTAGATCTTTATTGTTGATTTAGCAATTTTCTGCCTAAAACCTTGTAATGGAACATGGTATATTTGTTGTGAATTTCTGTACTAAGTTGATAAGCATCTGAGTTCTTTATTCTTTGCAATAGTATCACCAAAAGATGGAAACAGACCTAAAATAATGGGGCACAACTTGTAAAAATAGAGAAGAGGTGATATTTTTAGGTTAAGTCATAATCTTGGTCTACATTTCTGTATTACAATCTTTACTTGTTGAATCCAGGGCCCCACACCAGTTTGTACACCAACATTTTTGGAGAGGAGAAAATCTGAAGTGGCTGAACTGAATGATGATGATAAAGATAATGAAATAGTTTTCAAACAGCCCATATCATGTGTAAAAGAAGAAATACAAGAGACTCAAACACCTACACATTCACGGAAAAAAAGACGACGAAAAAGCAATCAGTGATTTTCAATGTATTATATTTCTTCTGAAAAATATAATATTTTTATGAGAGTGGACTTTGTACTTTACTAGGTGCAATGAATTGCAACCTTTGACAAGATTTTCAGAGGAAAAATACACTGTTTGATCAAGTTAAGAAAAGCAATCTGTAATTTTGGATTGCCTGCCCTTGTCTGAAATACAGAGGTGCATACCAGCTTGCATTGGGTTGGCTGACACTGCCTCTTTGTCCTGGCCTCTAGTTTTCTTTTGATGTTTCATAGCTATCCTTAGTTTACTCTGCCTGGATAGAACGTTGACCGCTAACTGCAGGTTTAAGTACTAAACTGCAGCCTTTTCCGTCACTGGCATTTAAAGACCACCAATCTTGTTTGTCCACCTACATGGCTTGTCAGGGACATTTAACTCATGGGGATGCTTTAGATTTCTTTTTTTTTGTTGAGACAGAGTCTCGCTTTGTCACCCAGACTGGAGTGCAGTGGCCGGATCTCAGCTCACTGCAAGCTCCGCCTCCGGGTTCACGCCGTTCTCCTGCCTCAGCCTCCCGAGTAGCTGGAACTACAGGCGCCCGCCACCTCGCCCGGCTAGGTTTTTTTGTATTTTTTAGTAGAGACGGGGTTTCACCGTGTTAGCCAGGATGGTCTCGATCTCCTGACCTTGTGATCCGCCCGTCTCAGCCTCCCAAAGTGCTGGGATTATAGGCTTGAGCCACCGCGCCCGGCCGATGCTTTAGATTTCAACATGACATGGTTAAAGCTGGAAGTTTAATTCTATGTAGAGTGAGAAGGCAGTTCCATTGTTAACACAGATTTGTTTTTGTGTTCAGATTTTAATCGAGATTCAAAAATGACTCATTTTTACCGATAATGTTAACGTTAGTTTTGGTTGTGCTAGCATGGATTAATAACCACCATTTAACCATTATACCAGTGTCATCAGTGAGGAATTGTATTTCAAGATTCAAACAATAACCAGCAATTAAACTTTTTTTCTACGATTTATTTGTTTGCGAGTAGGACTTGGGAGTCATTGGAGGGGAAAAAAAAGTAAATTTTCCCCTTCATTAGCGAATTCAGATTCATTAAAAACATTGCTTTCAGATGTCATAGCTCATGCCTGTTATCCCATCTCTTTGGGAGGCTGAGACAGGAGCATCATTTAAGGCCAGGAGTTGGAGACCAGCCTGGGCAACATGATGAGAGCCCCTCTCTACAAAAAATTTTTAAAATAAGGCTGGGCACAGTGACTCACACCTGTAATCCCAGTACTTTGGGAGGCTGAGGCAGGTGGATCATAAGGTCAAGAGATTAAGAGCATCCTGGCCAGTATGGTGAAACCCCGTCTCTACCAAAAACACAAACATTAGGTGGGTGTGGTGGCACATACCTGTAGTCGCAGCTACCTGGGAGGCTGAGGCATGAGAATCACTTGAACCCAGGAGGCGGAGGTTGCAGTGAGCCAAAATCGCACCACTGCACTCCAGCCTGGTGACAGAGCAAGACTGTCTTAAAAAAAAAAAAAACAAAAATGAGCTGGGCATGGCAACGCATTCCTGTAGTCCCACCTACTTAGGAGACTGAGGTGGAAGGATCACTGAGCCCAGGAGTTTGAGGCTACAGTGACCTGTGGTTGCACCATTGCACTCCAGCCAGAGTGACAGAGCAAGACCCTGTCTCTTGGGGAAAAAAAAAAAAAAAAAAGCTGGGCACGGTGGCTCACGCCTGTAATCCCAGCACTTTGCGGGGCTGAGGTGGGCAGATCGGCTGAGGTCAGGAGTTCAAGACCAGCCTCACCAACATGGAGAAACCCCATCTCTTCTAAAAATACAAAATTAGCCAGCCATGGTGGCGCATGCCTGTAATCCCAGCTACTCAGGAGGCTGAGGCAGGAGAATTGCTTGAACCCAGGAGGCGGAAGTTACAGTGAGTCGAGATTGCACCATTGCACTCCAGGCTGGGCAACAAGAGTGAAACTCCATCTCAAAAAACAGACAGCAGTTAGAATGGCAATCATTAAAAAGTCAGGAAACAACAGGTGCTGGAGAGGATGTGGTGGAGAAAGAGGAACACTTTTACACTGTTGGTGGGACTGTAAACTAGTTCAACCATTGTGGAAGACAGTGGCGATTCCTCAGGGATCTAGAACTAGAAATACCCTTTGACCCAAGCCATCCCATTACTGGGGATATACCCAAAGGATTATAAATCATGCTGCTATAAAGACCCATGCACATGTATGTTTATTGCAGGACTATTCACAATAGCAAAGGCTTGGAACCAACCCAAATGTCCATCAATGACAGACTGGATTAAGACAGTGTTGCATCTGCTGGGCGCTGTGGCTCACACCTGTAATCCCAGTACTTTGGGAGGCTGAGGCAGGTGGATCACCTGAGGTCGGGAGTTCAAGACCAGCCTGACCAACATGGAGAAACCCTGTCTCTACTAAAAATACAAAATTAGCTGGGGTGGTGGTGCATGCCTGTAATCCCAGCTACTCGGGAGGCTGAGGCAGGAGAATGGCGTAAACCCGGGAGGCGGAGCTTGCAGTGAGCCGAGATCGCGCCACTGCACTCCAGCCTGGGGCACAGAGCAAGACTCCGTCTCAAAAAAAAAAAAAGAATCACTTGAACTCAGGAGGTGGAGGTTGCGGTAAGCCGAGATCCCGCCATTGCACTCCAGCCTGGGCAACAAGGGTGAAACTTCATCTCAAAAAAAAAAAGAAAATGTGGCACATATACACCGTGGAATACTATGCAGCTATTAAAAAGGATGAGTTCATGTCCTTTGTAGGGACATGGATGAAGCTGGAAACCATCATTCTGAGCAAACTATCACAAGGACAGAAAACCAAACACCGCATGTTCTCACTCATAGGTGGGAATTGAACAATGAGAACATGTGGACACAGGAAGGGGAACATCACACACCGGGGCCTGTCGTGGGATGGGGGGAATGGGGAGGGATAGCATTAGGAGATGCACCTAATGTAAATGACGAGTTAATGGGTGCAGCACAGCAACATGGTACATGCATACATATGTAACCTGCACGTTGTGCACATGTACCCTAGAACATAAAGTTTAATAAATTCATTATCACTCTAAAAAAAATTTTTTTTTAAATTCATTGCCACGAAGCATTCTTTCATCTATAATTTTGTAAGTCATATGATACTGGGCTAGGTATTCTGATGCAAAATAGAGTTGGTTTTAAGTACATGCAAAGAGCAGATTAGATCTCTAGAATTGTTCCTGGCGCATAGAAGATTTAGTATGTATTTGTTAAATAATGCCCTATTTGAACCATCTCTCAAACTTTGCATCTGGACATCCATCTGGTTTCCCCTGGAAAAGCATCAGATAAAGTTGTCCATGTGAAGACATACGTCTGTTGTGTTTGATCTTAAGGGGCATGTGCCTTCAAACACATACCTGTACATGGCAAGATGAACTGAGTATTTCTCCCTGAACCACCACCTGCCACCCCCCTTGTTTGTTTGTGTAGAGACGGAGTCTCACTCAGTGGTACCCAGGCTAGACTGCAACCTCCACCTCCCTGGTTCAAATGATTCTCCTGCCTCAGTCTCCCGAGTACCTAGGATTACAGGCATGCACCGCCATGCCCAGCTGATTTTTGTATTATCAGAGACAGGATTTCACCATGTTGGCCAGGCTGGTCTTGAACTCCTGACCTCAAGTGATCCACCAGCCTCAGCCTCCCAAAGTGCTGGGATTACAGGCATGAGCCACCACGCCTGGCCAGCTATAGACATTTCTTGTAAAAAAAAAAAAAAACTTTTTTTTTTTTTTTTAAATGGAAAAGTGTATATCAAAATTAATTCAGTTATCAAACTAATTAGGTTTTTCCCTGTTTCTTTTGTGTTTTTTTAGTTGAAACAGGTCTCACTGTGTTGCCCACAGTGTTCTTGAATTCTGGAGGTGAAACGATCCTCTTGCCTCAGCCTCCTAAAGTGCTGGGATTCCTAGCATAAGCCACCAGGCCAGCCATTTTTCCCTTTCCTAATTTTTAAAAATTAACGAGATTTGTGTTGCTATTATATATAATCAGACAAAAAGCTATACAGGAAAAAATTTGGAGCCCGACATTTCGCAAGCTGTGTATTGGCCATAAGATGGAGTGTTGAGTGAATAGATGCCACAGAAATGGCCTTTGAATGGCAAATGAATGAAGTTGACACAAGTTCAGAATGGGGTTTTCCGTTACTATTGTTTGGAATACAGCGTGGCCAAAGCCAAGGCAACTGGTCACTGTGACTGGGAATTGCAACCCTGGCTGATTGTGGTATGAGACTGCTAATATGAATTCTAAAATCTCACTTTAACGCATCAAAGGCTATTTCTTGAAGTGGTCGGGGGGGGAAAGTACAGCACGTGAAAATGATAGAGAATTCACATTTCAGTGTATGTAAGTAAAGTCTTACTGGAATGCAGCCACACTTATGTGTATATGTTGTCTCTGGCTACTTTTCTGCTATGAGAACTCAGTTGTAACAGACCATATGTGGTCCTCTGCTTAGCACTGCTGCTGGATGCACTACAGATTGTGCATTTCATCATTGGAGTAGTCCCAACTCATAGGAAAGCATCCGAAGAGTTAGATGTTTAAAATGGAGTATCGGCTGGGTGCGGTGGCTCGTGCCTGTTAATCCCAGTACTTTGGGAGGCCACGGCAGGCATATCACCTGAGGTCAGGAGTTCGAGACCAGCCTAGCCAACATGGTGAAACCTCATCTGTACTAAAAATACAAAAAACTGGACTGGGCACAGTGGCTCACGCCTGTAATACCAGCACTTTGGGAGGCTGACACAGGCAGATCACGAGGTCAAGAGATGAGACCATCCTGGCTAACATGGTGAAACTCCCATCTCTACTAAAAATACAAAAAATTAATCGGGCATGGTGGCACACACCTGTAGTCCCAGCTACTCGGGAGGCTGAGGCAGGAGAATTGCTTGAACCTGGGAGGCGGAGGTTGCAGCAATCCGAGATCACGCCACTGCACTGAAGCCTGGGCGACAGAGTGAGACTCCCGTCTCGGAAAAAAAAAAAAATACAAAAAATTGGCCAGGCACAGTGGCTTACGCCTATAATCCCAGCACTTTGGGAGACTGAGGCAGGTGGATCACCTGAGGTCAGGAGTTCGAGACCAGCACGTCCAACATGGTGAAACCCCGTCTCTA